CTCATCGATCAACGCACTGCTTATACTGCGCAGCCTCGAGAACGGATGGGCAGCTCCCGACTCAACAGCTGGTCAAATTATTGGCGAAGCTGTGAAAGTTGGTTCACTTTGACCTTGGCCGCTTTTGAATTTCGAAAAGCGCCGCTTATTGAACACGTTTTTGCACTTTGTCTGTTTTCAGACAATGTTAGCTGATCGAATCGATGCTGCAGTACATGTGCGTAAGAACCCCTCTCTGAATGGAATTGGATTCCGCAGTGACTTTCAGCCACTTTTTAGTAATGGGTGAGTCACTGCGTGTTCATTGATAATACAAGCGTTGAATACGCTAGTTTCCAAGATGAACTGTTCTAGCATTGAACGGAAACATTCTCTTCACCAAATCACTACAGCAGACCTCTTTGAGTCGTTCACGGTGTGTTCATTTCGTTCTTTTTCTCTTAAAGACAGTTTCCGCGATCAAGTGGTCCGTGGAAGGCCTCCGTGCATTTGGCATCGTTGTCCGCCTTCATAGAGAACGTACTACTTTCGTCACTCGAAATTTAAGAAAGCTTGAGACGCGTGATTATTGCAACCATTGCAACCACGATTACTTTCACTCTGCAAGACAACGGCTTACAAGCGGAAATGCGTGTACATAGCGTTGCCTGGAGCGTCGTAGGGTGATTTCCTGTGCTCTGCCGACAAGTGGTTGCACTTCGAATCCTGCTTGCCGTGGGATTGCCGACTTCCGACAAACTCATCCAAGGCGCCTACTGCTAGGGGATGGTCTGTGCTCACCTCAGGATGCTCCCAAACTTTTTCTCGCTTCTTTCTCTACTGGGGAGTTACTTATGGGCTACTGGTTCATGGTTGAGAAACCTACTACTCGTAACACTTGATCGCGGGGACTGTCTTTAAGATGTGAAGTTCAATCAGTAGGCACCAGTGAGGAATATTTTTTCGCTTAGATTCTATTCGTTTCCAGAACTCCAACCACTTTCTTGGTGCAGAGACACCAAATTTACTTCGGATGAAGTGCCACTCTGATTTCTACGAGAAGCTGAAATCGACACTTGTCAAAACCGAAACAACTGGTGGACAAACGATGCCTGCGAACAGTTCTTTGA